TAAATAGCAGCGGGCGGCCACTCAGCCTGTGTCTGCTCACAACCCCTTACCCTTTCCCCTGCCCCCAACGCACCTCACCCAAATTTTGGTCTAAACCGAAAGAAAAAAAAACGCACGAAAAAACAAGAACACACAAACATAAATCTGTTGGGCAAAACAGCGATTGCCAAATCAACTGGGAAGCGGGGTGGTTAGCATTGATTTTTACTTTTTTCGGGATATCTGCTCAAGCACTAATTCACTGGGGATCATTAGCTAAGCGTTTCAAGTCTCAAGATACCATAAATATATAGCTCGAAACGCTAAAGCCTAGACTAACCTTGAATGTGAACTTTTCCATTGAGTTTTCATAGTACATATATTAATGATCAAACAAAGATGGGGGAAACAAAAAGAATCGAAATGTTGGTGGGTCAGTTATCAGCAATTTTGTCATTGCCCTGAAATTTATCGTTTATTATGCGTCTGCCTCGCTACTTTCCGTGTCAGTCTGCATTCGTGTGTATCTTGCAGATGCATTTCACCAGAATGCTGCGATGTAAACGCCAATCAAACAGTTCTCGCTTCCAAATTATATATATGTATGCATGAGTTATATATATTCGTATATGTTATTGTTGGGCAATAAATTATAAAAATAATAAACACGACTGTGGCCGTATTTCGTCTCGTCTCATTTTGGCACACATTCAACTAATATCTCGTAAGATCTGCACTGCAGGCAAAAATGTATCTAGAACGCGACGCGTAATCAGTTTTTTAGCTGCGATCTGCAGAAAATTCTTTTCTTCACTAAGCGAAAAACTTTCCATTTCTATGGCGGCGTGGGTGGTTCGAGTAGTTCTCGATTTACATCGGAAAGTGGGGACTCACCATTTAGTTCTTTTTTGCCTTTCGGGTATACAATTTCACAGTTATCACTCTCACACACTCACACACGCACACAGAGAACACCTACGGGTTTTTAGCAGGTCTTCGGTTCTTTTTATTCCTCTTAATCTCTTCTCAGGGGTTTGCTTGGTCGGAGGTGATTTCAAAAATTAACTGCCAATTCTCGGAAGACGAGGCTTTTCTACCTATCCAACGCTCTCAACTGAATGTTAATAAACACAGCGTTGTTTGAGTTTGGTTTGGATTTGGTTATGGCTTTTTTCTTCTTTTTTTTAGTAAGTGAGTTGGCGCCGACTTGTTGCTATGTTTGTCTGTGGAAGATTTTTTTTCCGTCTACCACGGCTATGAATATTAAATAACTTTTTTGCAAGTTCTGCTTTGCGCCGCTGTATTTGCAAATCACCGTTTATTTTCCTTTCTTACTTTCGAAACGGAAATGCTTAGATTATGATCGGGTAGAACTTCACTTTCGTCACGAACATAAAAAACGCCAGTGCTGAATTTATTGGGAATGCCGTAAAACCCGTTTTCGAGAATGCAGCGCACACGACAAATGTGAATACAAGAATACCAATGTGAAGTACCTCATATAAATAATATTTATCTGCGGGTGGGGTAATAGGATTTTAAATTTGAATTTTAACGGAAAATGACTCGAATTACGTGCGTGTGGGTACGACGAAACCGATATCCGACCGTTATTATGACTTTTTTTTTTTGTTTTTGAAAAACGCAACCGGTATGCAGAATGTCTCGCTTTTCGAAGCGACGCCAGACGAACGATGACGTTGCGTATACGGATACGCAAGTGTCTGACCACAAAGAACGCCGAACAACAACTGCGGAGGTTCGGCAGTTGGTTCAGCAGAAAAGCACCGCTACAGGGTGCTTTTACTCTTCGCCTCGGAAAACCTGTTTCCCTAGCTCTCTCTTAGCGCGCTCTCTTTATTCTTCGAGAGGCATTCGGAAAGGCTCGCTCTCTGCGGCCACGAAAAGCGAAAGCCGTTGGCCAATCAAATCAAGGGAATTACACGTGCTCGACGCTGGTTTCCCATGGAATGGGCAAAGGGGGAGCGGTGGGGGCTATCGCCCAGCGTTTTGGCCAAGTTCTCTGTTTTGGTTTTTGTGCGGCGAGAGGCTGGGGCTCTCTTCGAGCCGTCCGAAGATGCTCCCACCGCCACAGGGTAAACATGGTCAAACATTGTCAAACATGGCCCAGCAAACAAGGGCCTTTATTGAAAAATCTTGTCTTACCAACAAAGGGAAAAGAGCTCAAATTGAAAATCACCTATTTGACAAGAGTTAAATTGCACTTGGTTCTTTTAAGATTTTTAAATTGACAAACATGCTTGATTGTAAATATTTGATTTTGAAATAGCTGTAAATTCATTTAACTTACTTGCTTGATAGAACATGATATTAGGTGCAGTTTTATAGAAACAGTATTAAACATTAATAGTCTAAAAAATTTGTTTAGTATTTTTTAAAATGAATACTAGCATACACTTTTAAAATATGACAAAGAAGATTAGTATTACCATATAAATTTTTAACCCTTAGTTAGTGTTGGTTAATTTAAGTCCAATCCTTTAAGAAACAATGTGGTTAACAATATAAATATTTATAAAATGCCAACTATGTATCCTCGCCTGCTCCGGATAATTGTCATTCCCGATATAGACGTTTATCTGCACCAGACACCCACTGAATTGTCCCGAATCAAGGCTGACAACTAAATTCTCGGCATACCGAGTGTAACCAAATTTACGGGCGGCTTTTGAGACAACCACAAACTGAGCTCGTTGACAACTCAGTTCGCATATCTGCGAGTATTCACGCATAATTCGTCCTACTTGGCGGATCCTTCGTATCGTATGAGGGGGGAGCAGAAATTGTATTCATGGGAAATATGCAAAAGCATGAAGCCGCAATCATATGAAGGGCACAAGCTGGGGACCGCAAAAAAGAAAGGATGACAAACAAGCGCAAACTCGAAAAGGATGCGGCTCGGTTGTCAGGCAAACGGCAAACGACACGGAACGCAGACAAATGGTGGGGGGAATGCCCCCTCAGTTAGCAGCATTAGATGCCAGGATGTGCCGGGGATACGGAATGCGGTCAAGGATTCGAGCGCGACTTGCAGAATTGGCTGAGATGAGGGCCAAATGCATTCGAACCGGGCAAATATTTGCAGTATTTTAATTACTTTTTTGTCTAGAGTTTCTGCAACAGTGGCACAGGAATAGAGATTGGAAATTAAAAGCGGCAAGGAACAAGTTCAAATGGCTGTCGCCATATCCCCCCTCCCTCCCCCCCTTTCCCTTTTTCCCCTTACCCGCTTTTCTGTTGGCCACTTTTTTAATTAAAAAAGCGCACAACTGAAAATGGCGCCCGCAAAATGGCGAACAATTTCACAGCTTAACATGGCAAACTTTTGCGGGCTAACAAAATTTAAATGCTCCCGAGATACAGGTCCTTTTTAAAGCGCACATTTTCCGAATGCCGTTCAATCATGGAAAGTTTTCCCCTTTGGCCTGTGTCAATTTTCACTTAACACATTGTCGAAAAATCTTAAGCAACCCTACTTAGGCAATCCCATCAACAGGGATTCAACTTTGGGCTTCGAGTGGTGGGGAAAAAACTTTTCCATTTTCCCGCCCACCTTTAGGCCAACTTTTCCAGGACGAAACACCGAGTCAGCAGCTTTAAAGCCGAATCAATTAATAACCTGTGCGTGTGTGTGTGTGTGGGATGTTTTTTGCCATTCGAGCAGCGCCTAAAAGCAGGCTCATTATATTTTGCATAAATTATATTACGATGGAGGCGAAACCCATTTGACATAAAAATTTACTGCACATGTTGTGCGACGAGATGAACAGACGAGGCGAACTTGATAAGCTCCGGGATAAAACCAATAAATTTATTGTCTCAAAGTTGGCCCTGGAGTCTGGGTTTGGCAGCTGCTTCTTTTGAGCCCTCGTCCTTTGTGTTAACGCTTCGTTAAGTCTGCGTTAATTTATGTGGGCGTGGCGGCTGCCTCTAGGCCAGGAGCCAAATGACTTTGATAAACCAAATTGTCTTGTCTCCGCTCCCGTTCCCGGGGAAAAGTTGTAGGCCGTTAAATCCGTTTCAGCCGGGGAAATCAATCAGCAAAGCAAATAAATACAATTAATGTTACATTACGCATACGCCGTGTGTTTCTCGGATAAAGAAAAGTCCTTGCTCCTTGCGAGAGAGGCTGTGGCATAAATTATGCCGAGCAGCAATTCTTTGCAATTTTATGCATGCCAACGAAAAGAAGGAAATGAAAAACCCGTCTCGTCTTTATGCAAGAGCACGGAAGGAAGAGCAGACGGCAGAAATATGAATAAAAAAAGGAAAATCAAATATGCACTCGCGTGAAAATTAATGCGACACGCTTCTCAAGCATCTCGCACTTGAGTCATTCAGACTCAGAGTTTTTCCCACTCCTCTTGGCCGTTTAACTTGTTTAATTGAAGGAGAAGCGGCGGCAAAATGGAAGAGCTAGGAAGCGGAAGTGGTAAAAACTTGTTGAAAAGTTGATGAGCAGTTTAAGGTTCCGGCTTGTGGTTTTTTGTAAAGTTAAAACAATACATAATTCAAGGCAAAGCAATTAGTGTTTCTGGCTCTACAATTCCTGAGAGGCATCAATCAATAAATGCAATACATTTTGATTGCAAGTAGACCGAAACGGTAACCGAGATAAAATCAATTGCAAACAGGCTTAATGGAGTCAAAAGGATACTCGTGTGTGTATGCAAATTTATTGAAAAACATTCAGAGCAATTTGCCCAGGCATTTAGAAGCTTTTAAATATTCTGTGCAAGACAGAAATCATTTTGAAATATTCAACCGGAAATGGAAGCACACTCAGCCGTATTTCCCCCACAGATTTCCTCAAGCTTTATTTGGGTTTGTAAAAACGCACATTTAAGTCGTTAAACTTAATGCTAATGGCGGCTATTTTTCAATGCCTGCAATCCGTAGACCATTAGCGGACCCTCAAATCATTTGTAACTTCCGCTAATTAGTGTTTTTCCGAAAGATAAAGCCTGGACTGCCCGATTTTCCTGCCATTCGACGGAGACATGTGGCCGCTACTGGTTCCAGTTTTCCTGCTGGTCAACGAGTCCAGCTGGATGAATTTCATCCTGGGCAGCATCTACAAGGATAATCCCTACGAAACGGTTCTGCTACTGAAACACAGCCAGCAGAACGATGCTTACGGATTGGAGAGGTTTCCCTATCCGGTTTTAAAGTTCGACGAAACGATGAACTTCCGTGTGAAAGGCAGTTTCAACAGCGAAATGCTCGTTCTCATCTGGCAGTCTGGAAACTCAACTTTGGACGCTGATTTGTGGCAGGCACTTGACCGTTCATTTCTGAATATGAGACAAGTAAGGGTAATACTCTTCAGGAAATGGGAGAAAAGCCCAACTATCGAAATTGCCAATACAGCACAGCATCTGCGTTTCCTTAATGTGGCTGTAATTGGAAAGCGAAAAAGGATATATCGACTACAACCATACGCTCCTCAAAAGTGGTTGGAAATAAACCCCGAACGATCACCAATCTTTACCAAAGTAAGAAACTTCTATGGCAGATATATACTTACTCTACCGGATCAGTTTCCACCCCGTTCAATTGTATATCGCAATCCGAAAACGAGAAATCTGCAAATGTCGGGTTACGTGTACAAGTTTCTTCTGCATTTCACTCAGAAGTTCAACTTTACTTTTCGCTGGCAGAGACCCATTAAACCAGGTGAGCATATAAGTCTGATTGAGCTTCGGAATATGACAATGAATGGTACGATTAATATGCCCATAAGTCTCTGTGGCTTTGAGCTTTCCACTGAGTTCGGGGTTTTCTCGAATGTTTTCGATTTGGAGGACTGGGTCGTTATTGTTCCGCGAGCCCTGGAAATTCCCACCGCCGATGTTTATGTGGTCATGGTTAGTGGTCAGTTTCTGATTGTCCTATTTATATTCTATGGCATTTTCACCATCCTGGACACTTGTTTTGGACCTTTATTGCTGCAAAAACGTGTGGATTGGTCGAATTTGGTTTTGAACGAGCGAATGATTTCGGGAATAATGGGACAATCCTGCAAAATGAGCGCCAAAAATACGATTAGTTCGAGGGTGACCAATGCCACTCTGTTTCTACTTGGGATGGTTTTGAGTACTCTATATGCAGCTCATTTAAAGACCCTGCTGACCAAGAGACCCACATCCCAGCAGATCACAAACTTTCAGCAACTCAGGGATTCCTCAGTTAATATATATTTCGATAAGGCCGAACAGTTTTATCTATTCAACGCTATGCAAGAGCGACCAATACATGTCGTAATGGATAAGTTACAGTTTGAGGCCACCAAGGAATTTAACGAGTTGAGGAGTCGCCTAAATCGATCGAATGCCTTTTCGGCACTGACATCTGAATGGCTTATTACGGCCAAGACACAGGAGCTCTTCAAACAACCAGTTTACACTATTCAACCGGAGCTGCAGATCGTCAGGATGAATGTGATGCTATCCTTCGTTATGCAATCCAACTCGATCTACGAACACGAATTAAATAGCCTGATTGGTCAGGTTCAATCAGCTGGAATTGTGCAGTTCTGGAAGCAGCAAACCCTGCGGGAAATGATCACCATGGGCATGATTTCCCAAAAGGATCCCTTTCAGTATATTCCCTTTCGGGAGTTCAAGGTGGGCGACCTGCTGTGGATTTGGATCTTGCTGGCCAGCTGCTTGGTCCTGGCCTTCTTCACATTCCTTTGCGAGCTCTTGGTTAATTGCTTCATTAAGACACCCAAATTGAGGCCCGAAAACCCCCGCCTTTAGCAACTGGCTGACTCGTTGGAAATTATGAATAAATTTATCAAAGCCTTTGATTTATTACAAGTGCGTGACCCGAAATTAACTTCCTAATTGGATTTTAATGCGTGCAAACTAATTAGTTTATTTTGAATAATTAAACGAGCTTAACTTTCGATCAATGCAATATAACGTGTGTTTTTGTGTTTGTCTAAAAGTAATTGGTGAAACGTTTCATTACATACTTATGATAGCTTAAATAAATTTTGCAAAAATCAATTGAGTGTACAAAAAAAAATTTTTTAAATTCGTAATACATATTTGGTGTTTAGCATTCATATTTATTATTCGGGAAAACACTAATAAAAACTATGAGCAAATGTAGAACTTATCAGAAAGATTTAAGCTTGTAATAAATTTAAGATAATAAATATTGATATTTTATCTTCTTAAGACAAAAATGTTATAAATCTTTAGAAAATCTAAGCCCTAATAAATGTTTATGTTCTATGTGCATAAAATAAAACATTTGTATTTCTTAAGCATATTAACAAATGGGCAATAAATTTTGATGCGTTGGTTTGACAATCTGCAAATACGAACTAAAAGTTTTCGAGCTTGTCAAATAACCCAGTTGGCCCATGGAAACTCTACACCCATGGCCCGCATTTTCCCCAACTAACTAATGGTGGGCAGCCCTTCTCCCTCACGTTGACATAAATCAAACATTTCGCCGGGATTACTTTCAAAAAATGTCACTCTGCTGTTGTCGTCGACGAAAAAGCGTTTGCTTAGTTTTTGTTTTCGACAGCGAGCCTCCGTCATTCAATCATCCGGGCTTTCGGTTCCCGGTTCCGGATTCCGGGAAGTACGCCCCCATAATTGACGTTTACGCTGGTTTATCTTTAAGGGAATACACTTTGCCAGACGGCCAGACGAGCTGGATTGCCAAGCTTATAGGCCAAGTAACGGGCGAATTACGGCTGACGACAGGATGTTTATGGCAAAATCAATATGCCAAAAGGCTTTAAGCGTATCCATGGCACTGAAAATTCACGAAATAAAGCCAGAGGCGAACAATCGAATTATTGATGCACTGCAAGCGGCGTAAAATTTTTAATTAAGCCGGACAACAATGTGCAGGCCGTAAACTGATTCCTGTGCCGAACGTATAGTAACCCATCCAGGCTCGTGACTAGTTGGAAATTTCGTGTAATGCAATATGCAAATTAGCGGCTAGTGGTCTCCGGACCACGCCCACCGCCCACCGTCCATCGCCCACTGCCGGAGGGCGGTCCACTCCCCTAATTGAACCACATTTCGGGGCTAATTGCAACAACGTGAAATGCGAAAACAGTCGAATTTCGAAATACGCCGATTTTGTTGCTGTCCACAACGATCTCTTTGGCTTCGGGGAAATCGACGTGGAAGCATTATCAGCATTTCATTTCAAAGTGGGCACAGTCAAAAATCTGAACATGCGAAATTTGAATAGGACAGCCATTTCATTTGCACGCTCAATTGTGAGATTAAAGTGCTGAATTTTAAAGTGCGGTAAGCAGAAACCTAAAAATATATTACATACTATCAATATAGGTTTAATTCTATTATTTCTTTATGTTTTTTTATTTAATAATTATTTATAATTTATGTTTAGCTATTTAATAATTATTATTAAATTTATAGGAATATTTATTAAATGCATTATGCATTTGTATCTTAATGTATTTAAAATTGTTTAAATCAATTTAATTACGTATAGCATCCCATTTGGCAATAAAAGGTAATAATAAATTCAATTTACGTCTTTTTCATTATATTTGCATCAAACACTATAAATTGATTTTAAATTAATATTGAAAATAAAATTTAAACCTTCCTGAATTAATTCCAGGCTATATCCCGTTATCCACTTAATCAAAACATTACACATCAATTTATTATTGAAGGCTTAAAAAAGAGATAAAAACAATTGTTAATTGTAATTATTCTGGCCACAAATTGGCCCATGCGTTAAATTACTCCTGTCTTCATCCGGAAAAGTCCAGTGAAACGGATTAAAGTGCTATCAAAATCGATGTGGAACAGACCACATGACACGTTAATTGAACTCGACCTGCGGGATACTTTAAATGTTTTAAATTTGAGTCTCATGCAAGTGATTAACAGAAGCAATTTAATTTTTGGTAAAAACAATTGTTTAAAGAAATTTTCCCATATTTTTCTGAGTTGCTTTTTGTGTTATGTGTTGCATTCAACATTTTACTATCCGCTTGCAAAATATTGTCCGAAAAGTTCCTCCACATTGTTGCATTCAGGAGAGACATCAGAATAAATGCTGAATGCTTTCTGCATGGCCAAAGTTGAATGGCTAAAGTTTTTGCTCAACAGCAGGTGGGCGTGGCAGACGCCTTCCTGTTGGTCGTTGATTTAGCATTCGTTTGCATTTGTTTATGCAAATCGCGTGGCAGCATCAAAGCGAAAAACTGCCAGGCGTCACAAAAATTGTATTCCAACATAAATTAATGCCGAATACTTTGTGTTTCCATTTAACTTTCGAGCTAATTAGTCGTGAATTTTAACGCGAACTGTCATTTGCATAAATTTTCAAAATATATTCGACTGGAAAAAGGTCCTGCGGTCGTAGGGAAAAATTCGTAACATTCATTTGCATTTGTTCTAATTATGAGCTCAAGCAATTAGCAGCTGGCAAAACTTTTCCGAAGGCAGCTAAGCACAAACAATAAACGGAAAATCAAAACAAGCTTAGTGCAGACACCTTTTTTAACGGCAGGAGGGGAGATTCCCTCACAGAAACTGTCAAAAACTCAATCAGAAAACTTTCATCTAAGCCGGTTGGCAAAGTTGTTGCTTCTGCTGAGCGGATGAGGGATGACGAGTGGGGAGGGGGTGGTATTTTCCCATCTATCCCCCACCTGGGTGTGCATTATTAACAAGTTTTCTATATGCAAATCAGCTAGCTACACAGAACTTTCAATGGAAGCAAAACAAAGCAAAGGAGTAGACAATGTTTACCCACCCAAGGCCATTGAGTTTTTCACCCCGCCCCTTCCCCCAGTTGGTTTTCCTTCGGCTGCCAGTTTTCCATCAAAATGCGAAAGTAAGTGAAATTGATGAATGCCCTGGTGACAATGGAGTGCTTCAGTTGTCAGTGGGGCTGGGCCAATAATAAATGGATGCGATGGTCAGAAGCGAGTGGGCGACATTCATCAAGCGACTTCAATAAATTTAAAGCCGCAAAGAGAGATATTTCTTCATAAGTTTTTTTTTTGCACATAATCCCCTGTTCAGCTCATCTTTGTGACCTCTAAAGCCGTCCATTGATTTGTCAATGCCTGGCCTTAAGAGTCCTGGCCGCCTTTTCTGATCCTGGTTCTGATTCCTCCTCCGTGGCCATAAATCAATCCATGGAGAATTTTGAAAGCATTAAAAGCATTACAAAGAGCACCATTTCGTGGTTGTTGTAATTCTTGCGTGCGGCTGTCGCTGTCATGTCTTTGTCATGTTGAACAAAAGCCGCCATGGTGGCAGCATTACGTATACGCCCTGTGGCCCATTGCGCAGATATAGGGCCTCACACATGCAAAGCGACATTTCCAGGCAACCGAATGAATGAATGCGAGAATGAATGACTCAACGAACGGTAAGGGGAATGGAAAAGGGAACGGGAAAAGGGAAAAAGGGATAGGGAAGATGGAGAAGGAGTACGTGGGAAACCTAAGGCCATCTTTTGTCTGCCTGCTTTTCCGTTTTTCCTTCAGGCGGCTGTGTTCTTTTCGCCAGCCATTTGATTGTTTTCCATGTATCTTCTTGTTACCAAATGCACTGTAAAAAAATCTAGCATTTTTAGGAATACACGGTTTTAGTACTTATAAAAATATTTATTTAAAAATTATAAAAAATATTGTTTATTTGGGATTATTATGTCAGTTTGCATTTATGAATATTGCTTTATGGTTAAAGCTATGAATTCTTATTTATTAATGGTTGAATATACATTACAGCAATTATATAAAAAAAACTGTTATCCCAAAGGTGTTTTTAATACATTTGCGCAAGACTTTTTATATGATAAAAGTTTTAAATAATTGATTTTTTGTAAATGGACCAAAGCCTTTTTTCAACTAGCAAAAAAATCTTTAAAAAAAAAAAGGAAACATTGAATTCACTACTCTGTATACATCAAAGTTCTAAGTAAAAACATTTGTTTATATATATTTTTTTACACATTTATGTGTTTAAATAAAAATTAATTTATCCATTGACTTTCTTGTTTTTTTGTCAGTGCCTTTGCCAATGAAAGCGGGCTCGTGTCAGCCATCCTTGAGGCTCCTTTGCTCATTTATATGCATTCGGTCCGGAGGACACAATATCGGTAGATATTTGGTTAAGAGCGTAACATTATCGTTTCATATCCGTAAGGTCAGCAAATGTCGTTGGCTAAGATTGGATTGCACATGTGGCAGCCACACGAGGCATCAGGAGCAGAAGCGAAACAAGCTTCATTTCGGTTTCGTTGGCGGGCAAAACAAGTTTGACAGCTCTCGGGCAACCGGGCAACTGATAGATACAGATAAAGTAGCTGGAGTTCTCGGATGCAGTCCGCAGAAGTTCATTGCCATCGCAGCTGAAGAGGGAAACCCGAGATATCAAGAACAGGGAATTTATATATACTATTATATGTGGGGAGACGATGGTGGAGCATTGAAAGTGAAGACGCAAATTGCCGTCGCAATCGGCGGGCTTGAACTTGCTGAACAAGTTTTCGGTTTTGAATAGAACTCACTGGGATAAAAGTAAAACCTAAAAACATAGATGCTGGTCCACCACAGCAGAGAACTTTTTTCAAATGCATAAATCGAATGCAGTCGTGCGAATTAAATAAAATGCCAGCTGCCATTATCCCATATCGAACCCACATAAATTGATGCGGCGGGTGCTGCTGCATCGCACAAATAAAACATTCGTTGGATTGACATTTTAAAATGCTTTCCATGCACACGGGCTGCCATAGAAACGGATCGGATGGGAAATGGGAAAATAGTCGAAAATATGACAATGGAAAATGTATCTTTGCCATTTAAAATGGCATTGAATAACAACCACTAATGCTGCTATGCGAGTACGACATTAATTTTAAACTTTGGGTTTACGCTTCCTGGTGGGATTATCAAATGTTAATTAGCCAAATGATGTTTTCAATTGATTTACGGAAATGACCAGTCGCAATATATTCATAGCTAATGTGGCGAATGATTGGACACCGGACATTTGCTGGATATCTGTATTTATTTATTATTTTTGAGTTATTTATTTTGTCACTTGTCAAGGATAATAGTCGCTTGATTCCATTGGTAAATATTATTCTTTTGATTTGTCTGGCTTACGATTATTTTAACTGTTTTTAGTTCAATAAATTTAAAATGTATAGGAAATTGGCATGACGTTTTTTTCGTGATATTTTTTTGCAGATTTACATTTTTGATAAGCTCAACAACTTTATAATTGCTGTGTTGGCTTGTTTAATAAATACAATCGTATTTAAACAATATCTTTGATTCCTCTCATCTGCATATTACAAATGTAACAAAAATAGCAAATAATCATTTAAAAGTGTTTTTATATAAAAAGTTGTTTTATTTTTTCAATACCTAATTGCCCATTTAAAGCTATGCTTAATGAAGTGCTTCTGCTCAAACTAAAATGCTTTAAAAATATAGAAACCTGGCATTAAAGTTACATTTTACAATATCTTTAGAACCTTAAATCTTTTCCTTCAAAACTTAATTGATTTTTGTGACACCTTAGGTTAAAATTTTTTACAATTCAAAAGAAGATACTTACCTTTTCACAACTTTTGATTAGATCGGAACCCCTTTCCCGATTTGCAACCACATTAGTCGCTTCATTACGCTCACATTCATCGCTCGACGTGACATTTCAATTGGCCCATGCTGGGGGCAAAGCGAAGACTACATAAATCCCCGGTGCTTGAGCCCAGCCAGATACCTTCGAACCCCCCAACCTCAAACTGCTAACCATCCGAAACTACAATGCGCATTCGTATTGCCGCACTCACATTCGCATTCGCATTCGCATTCAGTCGCCGGGTCGTAATGCATTGCACGTACGGAAACCTCGCCGTAAAATGACGGCGAACTAGCAGCTCTAAAAAGTGTAAGAAAATCAGCAACTAAATGGCGGCGGATCCCCCTCATCCCTTCCCCTTTCCTCTTTCTACGCTTTGGAACTCGGTGGGTGACCTGGCACATTTCGCTACTTAAAGCCACAAAAGCCACACGCACACACACTGCGAAGATGAGGCGACGTCTTTAGCACCGCCATTGTTGTTAATTTTGCAAGGCTGCCAGGCAACTTTGCGCCGGAAACGGAAACTAGGAGCACTTGGCTCGTCCTAGCTAATGTGTTCGTATGTATGAGTGTTTATATGTGTGTGTGTGCGAGGATGTGGGCACGTTGGTGTATGCGAGCATTTACAGTTGAGTTATGGGCGCACATAAATAAAATGTCAGCGACAAAATGGCTGCCAAAGTTTTGGCGGAAATTACCTGAACTACGTCGTTGACACAAAATTGAGCCAGCAGCACTTTGACATTTGTCAGCCTTTGTTTCGCGTATCTCCGAGATCACGTAATTCCGTGCACTTTCCAATTGAATTAAATGTGGCCTAAGCCAATGAGCAGGGCTTGATGGGCCGCTAAGCTTCCCGGAATTCCTTCGTACGCATTTACCCGATGAGCAGACAACAACATGGTGTAAGCCCATTAGCCCTGTCAAAATCAGGTTAAAAAAAGGTTCAACAAGGCCCGAAACCGCAGACCCAAAAACGAAAAAACAAAATAAAAGGGTTCGCTCTCATTCGCAACTTATCTATAAAATATTTACATTTTATTGCCACTTTTTGAGTGTCTCTCTGGCTATATTTAAATTTCACATTAATCCTTAACAGAGGGTGAATATTTAACCCTCCCACCGCAATTTGTATCACTTTCAGAACCTTTTTTTATCTCCGGCGGGAAGGAAAATTGATTTTTGGCTTTTGTGTGTGGCGAATTTGTTTTTGATTTGAATAAAAATGCAAATGTCTAGACGGAGTCGGTGTTTCTTTGGCAATATAAATCCAAGCTAAAGGGTATTTTAAGCTGTTTTGGGCAGTCATCCGAACCGCTTCCCTTTTGGACCATGTAATGCAATTTTTTGGCCATTGTTTTACGCTGCACTGACCTGGCTATAATCAGAAAAGGCGGAAAAACAGAAGGGAAGCAGGAAAACTGAGCAACATTCTTTGATATTTATTTGCTTTGTTTTTGCCGTTCTTTGGCCGCTTTCAATTTACGTTTACAATAATTCAGCAAAACGTCCAAATGGCGTGCAATAAATTCGCAACATAACAAAGTACGGGAAAAGCACAGGAATTGTACCACGAACGATTTACCCACACATACAATATTTATACATAAAATGTAAACTTTTCCGTTTCACTTTATTTTATTTGCACTTTATTGCTCACAATGGCAATTTATGTTGCGCCATTTTCAACTAGGGCGTATACGGCGTACTATACTATATAGTGTGTATATAAAATGGGGGTACGTAACTTCGGGGTTCATGCGATGGTCAGTGTAAAACAAATGCTGACAAGTGCAATTATCCCGGGCGGAGTGGGGTGGCAAGTTGGTTTTGGGCTCGTAATGAATGTAATGCCGGCAAATGGCAGTGCAAGTGCGGTATATTCCACTCCGGAATCAGAGTGTTTCAGCTTGCCAAATGGTCACTGGATTTCGCGGAGGGGGAAAGTGGCAGCGTAGGTGGTAAGAGCTCCTGATTCCAGTTAAGACCCACGCGACATTTTTGGTAACTGAGAGAGCTTTAAGATTAAAGGCTTCGCCGCAGTCCGTTTTGTGTTCTTTGTGTTGCTTTATGGCGGTTTATTGCACTTAACTCACTCACTTGTATGGCCATAACATAGTAATTATTATTGCTTCAATGATTTATTGCATTGACTATTGACTATGTCACAAGCATTTTAGGGTATACCAATCCAAAACCGGATATCATTTAGAAAAGTTATGGGCTTTCAAGTGCTGGTATTGGGCCATATGGGCCAATTGGAATTTTTATTTGAGATAATCTTTTAAAAAAAATTTTAAAATAATGGTAGAAGACCATTTCCCATTTCCTTTGTTCCTTTCGTACCCAAAAAAAAAAATTTACCTTCTTCACTCCTCTACAATTTTTGTAGAGGATTCAATAAACTTTGATTTTCGATCGTACTGGTGATTTGCCAGTAGCGACTCATCCTAGCGGTGGGGTTGCCACCTGGCGCCATCTAGGAGTGACGAAAGTTCTATTATTGTGTCCATAGTAACGTGGACGAGGGGGTGTGTGGGTCCGGGGAGCCGAAGTTTCTTAGAGGTGGCTTCTTTTTCTCGGGGAGCCTGGGATTCGAGCCCGGACCTTTCGGATCGGGAGACCAGTGCTCTATTTGCTGGTCCACCGACCCCCCAAATTAATAAGCATTAAAGAAGCAGAGTAGGTATTGCAGTTTTGAAATAAATTTATTTAGAAAAAGTAATGAAAGTGAAGAAGGTTCCTCCACATTGTCATTAACTATTCCTCGGGAAATTAGTAGGAGATGCCGGTGTGGTCGCGGATCCATCCCAGGTAGTCAGAGACACGGGTGTATCCAGAGGGTCCGTTGTGGCAGCCCACGGAGGCGAAGGTGATCACGCCGACGAGACGAGGGTTGTCGTGTGTAACCAGGGGGCCACCGGAGTCTCCACCGCAGACGGACTTTCCGTCGGCGTGGCGGGTGCACATGTCAGTGTTGGCCACCGATCCGTAGGCCTGGTTGCACTCGCTGTTGCTGATGATCTGCACGTCGACGCACTGCAGCCAGTCGGCCAGGTTGCCGTTGTCCATGCCGCCCCATCCGCAGGCCACGCACCAGGTGTCCTGGTAGCGGTCGTTCTGCTCGTTCATGCTGGGCAGGGGGATCTTGTTGATCAGTCCGTTGAAGTCGACGTAGGGCGTGCGGATCAGACCGATGTCCCGGCCTCCCTGGGATGGCCAGTCGGGGTGGCTGATGAAGTTGTCGCGGCGGACGGTCTGCCTGTAGGCTCCGTTCCAGCCCCAGTTGGATCCGTAGTGGATCTCCACGTAGTCGGTGGTCAGGCAGTGGGCGGCGGTCAGGATCCACTCGTTGCTGATGATGGTACCAGCTCCAACGGCACCGCTGTTGCTGCCATCCGTACGGAGGAACAGACCGACGATGTAGGGCGCCTTTCCCTCGGGTGCTGGGTAGCCGTTCACGATGCGACCCTCTGGGCCCTCGGAGAAAGTCACCTGGGGAAGGGTCCGGGTGCGGTTAAGTCCCGTCGGGGAGCCGGAGACCAGGGCCAAGGCCACGGAAAGAGTTAACAGAAACAGTTTCATGACTGCGAAGAAACTTGGTCTTCTGCTGCTGGCTGCCCTGCTTTTATACGATTCGGGAGCTGATAGTTCTTGATAAGGCTTATTTTTTCGGAATCAACAATGAAATCGTATCTCACCCATACTCAAAATCGTATCTCACCCATACCCACAGAAATCATTCATGCCCTGTACTTAAAATCAAAAGCCCCTTTTACAATCATTTGTTTTGGAATTAGCTTCTCAGGGGGGATTGGACCTCTTGAAATCACTGTTATCGGTGCGAATCGGAAATGCAAAATATACTGGGGCCTATAGGGCCTCATAAATCTAGTGTACATCTTGAGTACAACGTACAGATAAGGGACAAGCAATCTGATTAATAAATTAGTCGGTGATAGCGCCACTGTCAACTAATTTTAAAGATATGGGCTACTTTCGCCATACAGAATGAAAAACAAAACAATACAGGAAGCTCAACTATCTATAACCAAAAATCGAAACCAAACCAAGGATAGAGGTTCTTAGAGAACTATGCCACAAACATTTTAAGGTATACCAATCCAAAATCAGGCATCAAAAGAAAAGAAAATGGGCTAACAAGTACTGAATTTAGAGGACTTTGTCACAAGCATAAAATATGTATATACTTTATGGGGTCTGCGGTGTCTCCTTCACTGCGTTGCAAACTTAAAATTTATAATACCCAAAACAAGCCATATATTTTCTGTTATTTAGATTCTTGGATCGTCTGAAGTTTTCTAATTTTTGTTCTACATTTATTCGGATGTCAATACTTTTTCCCTTGGTTACAACTATCTCAGCCGTTCTAATTACCCACTTTAAGATGGAATCTTATCTATAAATTCATTTATTTAATTAAACAAGTACTTTAAAGTGAATCAAAATTGTACTTAAGAGCGCTTCAAAAATAAAAAGTTACTATCTACGGGTATGTTCTTAAGATTTCTTACAAAGTCAAATTTAAAAGAAAGAATGCATTTTTAGAAACATTTATTGTTTAAAAAAAACGAATGATGCAGCTTCTTAGAGTACCAATTCCAATCCAAATTTGTACACCATTTAGGAAAGTTATTATCGGAAACATAAGTCTTCAAAAACTCGCTTTAATTCTTCACAGAACAAGTTCTTGTTTCAAATGTTCTCTCCTCTTTAACTAAACGTTATATTGTCCCTTAAACACTTTACTGCCAACATCCTTCCTTGTCACCTGTCAGCTTCTAATACCGAGATCCAACATCGCCCACTAGTTGCCACGTAATACTCAAATGTTGGCATCCATAAAAGTTGGCTTCCGTTTTAGCGCCTGTCCTAAATGAATTTATGTCACCGGCACTTCATTCAAAGGCCCAAACAAAAAGAAAACAAGGCAGCAGCCGAAGAATAGGAGCATAAACTCCAGTCACTCCCCAGTCTAATATTCCGAGCGAGATGCAAGCCGCAAGCCGGCAAGTTTGCGTCTTGTGTCTGACATTAAATTAATTTGTTGCCTACAACTTTGCCGGCGGCAAATAGTGCCCCTGGGTGGCCTTGCTCCATCTCGGCAAAAAGCAATGGCTCCAGTTCGGGCTCCAGTTCCTAGGCGCCCGGAAAAACTTGTTAAAGACGAAAATAACAAGAAAAGTTTTAAATCATTCGCCAGGGCCAATGTCGCAAAACTTGGGCCCGAAAAGCGAGCAGCCCGGCAGAAAACAAAAACTAAAACGCAATCGTGAATGGGAAATGGGAAATAGAAAATAGGAAAATAGGTATATGGGTGAGCATAGCAGACTTGAATGAAGGAAAGGCGTGTGTGTTATGGGTGTTGTAACTGCTAGTCCAAGCTTTGCCCATAAAGTTGTGTGGAAGGCGTGTCAAGGTTGTGTGGGCTCTCATAGATACATATACAAATATACATGTTTATATGTATCTGAATAGCCGGAGCAGCTGGCAGAATTATGGCAGAAATACAAGCAGCATACACAAAGTGCGGGAATCATTCGAGTACTAAATCTTTGCCGTAATAGTCAACGCTTGGGGAAATGTTTATTGCTGTTTGTACTTAGCCAGTAACCCAAATTGATAACAAAAATAAACTTTACCCGCTTTCCTTGGCCAGAGTGGTGCATTCGGCTGTTTGGAGAGCATCTTCAGTGAATTGTATTTGCCTGTGGTTTCCTGGCAAGCCAGAGGATTAGAAAAGTTTGCCCTAATTCGCTTAACTTGGTTTATATATTCCCGGCTTGTTTATTGTTTGTATTGCTAATTTCAGCATAGAGACTTTTGCTAAATGCTCATGAATGGATGTTATTATTTAAATTTATAGGGTGGTAGCCTAATAACTTAATACAAACATTATTTCTGTTTTAAACATTTAATTGTAGTTACATAAATAAACTTACCAATAAGTAAACAATATGAGTAAACATGCCAATAAATAATTTTTTTAATAAAACTAGGGGAGGGTGGTCCCATACCGACCGGTCGTACCATACCGACCCCCCATGTTTCTCAGAGATGGCGATGCTAGCCGAATTGTCGGTAACTTCAGTGAAAAGCTGTTATAACACAAACATTTTGGAGATAGATAGCCACTTTGACTTATTTTGTTTCACTGCAATTTTTCCGTTTGTTTTGTTTCAACGCCTGTGACATTTATTTTTAAGCTTTACTGAACTTGAGCTTAAATTTTTTTTTCTCCGCATAAAAATCGGAGAGTAAATTTTTCTGATCGTTGATAGTCCTAGCTTTCACTCACATAATTAGAATTACATCGCTCTTTGCGTCTTTAGTTAATGCCGAGCAGTTAATCAGAAAAGGTCGTGGTGGTCCGAAACCGACCGCTAGGTGATGGTCCGAAACCGACCCCCATTTATTGGCAGCTTAATATGTCATAGCGTATTTTTGAGGGAAAATATGAAAAAGTAAACAAGATTCAGTAAAGAAAAGTAACAGAAACAGCAAAAACATCAGAAGAAAGCGAAGAGACAGTCATCAACGAGCGGCTTTCGAAAAACAAGGCGAAAACAACGCGAAAACTTACTATGAGAAAGAGGACAACTCAGACTTCATCAATTGACTACATTGCCCTTTATTTCATACATTAATTTTTATTTTCTGGAAAGAACCTTCAATATACTTCTTAATAAACGTCAAAATCATTAAATTATATTTTATGTTATTAAATTTTTCTGTTAAGAAATAGGGGGTCGGTTTCGGACCACTACTTTTGAGTACGACCAAAAAGTAGAGTTTTATATTTGCCTGAATATCTAACGCTTCAAAGCACCTACGCACTTACTAATCATTTAGATGTATAGTAAACTTATCCCTCTACATAGTAAATTTTTGAACTGAACTGAAAAATTGATTTTTCTCACCTTTATCGCCTTTGCCTTTTAGGGGGTCGGTATGGGACCACCCTCCCCTACATATACGATAATAATATATTGAAAAATTATTCTGCGTTCTTAATAAATTTACTTTATTTTATTAAAACTTTTATTTTATTTATTATTTGCTTCTATTACATATATACGCATTTTATTCTAAATTAATAGTATTGTTAAAATTGATATCTAAATTATTATTTGTTATACCTACATTATATATATTTATTTATACATTAGATAAATGTGTTGAACAAGAATTTCAAACTTCTTTGTTGTGGAAGAGTATTATCATTTCAATCTGTTACAGCTTTTAGAGAAATTAAATTTAAATGGCTTGCCCTCTTTTCTACTGCGTTACGCATCATTGATAAACTTGACCCGAATAATCGTCTTATTTGTGTCATTAACCAACATATAGTACTATATTTGGCCGACTTCCTCTGTGTACTTCTTTATTTTGGGCTGCCGCACGTTTCTAAGCCATTAGCTGCAACTCGACCAATTTGTTGATCGTTTGCCAGTGCTCGTCATGGTTTTTCTTTTTTTGGTTTTTCACACACTCTACTACACACACATGCGTTTTCAACCCATTTTTCCGGCAGCTTTTCCTCCCCGGGAAGAACTTCATTAAAAGCTCGACACTGCAGCGGGGTAAACCAATTACGGGTTCGAAGGGGGAGCACACAAAATGTGATTAGAGTGCAATGCCGGGGCGGAAGCAGCAGCAGCAGCTGTTCCTGCTGCGGAGAAAGGTCCTGCAGGAGGAGCAGGACGAGAACGGCAGGATGCAGCGACGCCGCTCATTGCAGACACATAAACAATTTTACGAGCAAAATTTTATAAGCAACAAACGAGGATGGGGAGCTTGTTAAATGATTTAGGGCCAGTCGAGGGTCCAAAGTCCTGCGACCAGGATACTGCATACTGAGTTCTAGGTCCTGGTACCCAGCATCTGCAATATGCTGCGACATGCACTTAAATCAATTTACTTCTGCCATTCGGTCGTGAGGAATCTCTTTTTCAACTGCACATGAAAGTTGGCCAAGGAAGCTATTAAATCGTGCGCATCGACATCAGCATGAGTCCTGTGCACTACTCCTTGTCTTCCTCCGCCGGGTAGTAAATTTAATTTTACCCATAATAGAGCACTAACATCATGGTTGTGCAGAAGTTGCCGGAACTGGCAAAAGTTGTGCATATTTTCAGAGACATTCATGGAGACACTTTCCTGTTCGCCAGCACCATTTACCCTTTAGTTTCTTCGGGGAAGCGGAAACATTGTTGTCTTTGCCACAAATACCATATATATATGTACGTATTCCAGGGGTTCCTCCTCTGAAAGCTGGTATGCCACATAGGTCTTTTGTCCTGCATGGCAGGTCATCGTGCAAATGCAGAAATTACCCAGCTTCCAGTGGTATCCTTCCTCCTCCCAGTTTCCCATTTATTTACCCCATTGTAGCGACCCCTTTGTTTCGACCCTTGTATTTCCCGTCATGTGTTTTTCCATTACCAACTGCGACACTTCCGGTGCCATTGTGGAGTGACTTTTGTATGGCTCACATGACGACGCCAGTTTTCCGGCTGCCTCCTCGGAGCTCGACGTAACCGCATTTTCCTGCACATTTTACA